AAGGTACCATATTCATGTTCCAGGTATATCTCATTATGCTGGGCATACTCATAGGTATGCTTATGATCCTGGCTGGCTCCAGGGCATGGGGGAGGATTACAGTGTAAGGATCTTATCAAGACTGTCTCACCGTCTCTCTCTACTTATCTTTCTCTCTCATAAAGAAAATAAATGAACTTAAGAAAATAAGGCTTGGGGCCAGCAGGTGGCGTAATGGTTTAGGTGCTAGAATTCTACAAAGTAGAATGTGGTTTGAGTCCTGGACCTGTCAGCTTGAAAATCATGCCGACTGTGTGTGTCTTCATGCACAAAATCCCAAAAGGAGAATGGAGAAGGATTGCAATGTGGTCATGCCCCCCGGAAAGTGATTACTTACTTACCCTCTCTGGCAAATGTACGTGTTAATGGCAAAAACCTAATAAAATAAAATAAAATAAAATAAAATAAAATAAAATAAAACTTATGACAAAATTATGATAATAGAATACTGCAGTATGTAAATGAATAAGCTAATAGTCAAAGAGCAGCAGAGAAAGCCAAATACAAATGTGTATATTCATAAAACTTGGTATATGAAAAAGGTGATACTAGAAATTATTGGAAAATGAATGGGTTACTTAGCAATAATTGCAGGGGAATGTAACTCACTATGTGAACAAAAAGTACAGTTATATCCCTACCTCACAGAATATGCAAATTAAGGTCCCCACTCAAATACTTAGACATTAAATGATAACACTATAAAGGTAAAGGAAGAAATGTAGAATTTACTTGTCTTTGGGACCAGCAGTTAGCGTAATGGCTATGTTGCTGAACTACCATGTAGTCGACCGCGGTTCGCATCCCAGACCCGGCGGTTTAAAACTCATGCTGGGCGTGTGTGCATGCGTGCCCAAGATCCCAAGAGGAGAATGGAGGAGAAGTGATTGCGGCATGACCAGCCCCCTGGGGGGTGATCTCTCACTTTCGTCTTTCTGTCTCCCTTTGTCTGTCTGGCGAGCGCATGCACCCTATAGCAAAAGCCTCTCCAAATAATAATAATAATAATAATAATAATAATTTACTTGCCTTTTCAAAATAAAGAAGTTAATTTTAATTTTTAAAATTTAAAATAAATTTCATTTAAATTCAAGAAAACTCATACTAAGTGTTTTGAGGGGAAATTTGAAAATACTACTCTAAATTTAATATAAAATATATAAGAATTTAATTTTAATTTTTTTATTTTAAATGTTTTTTCTTTTTTTTTCTTTTGTTTTCTTTTTTCTTTTCCTCTTTTTTTTTTTTTGGAGAGGTTTTTGCAATAGGGCACATGTGTTTGCCAGAAAGACAGAGAGAGACAGAGACAGAAAGCAAGAAATCACTCCTCAGCGGGGATGGCCACACTGCAATCCCTTCTCAGGATTCTCCTCTCGGGGTCTTGGGCACTCACACACGTATCGGGAGTGAGTTTAAGCCACCGGGTCCGGGATTCGAACTGGGGTGGATTACATGGGAGTCCAGTGACATAGCCATTACGCCAACTGCTGGTCCCAAGAAGAATTTAATTTTCAATGGGGAAAATAAAAAATTCAGTTCATTAAAATTAAATGTTATTCTTCATAGGCCCTCAACATGCCTCAAGACATACTATATCAAAATATGGCATCTTAGCACATTGAATATTTTAAACTGGAGAAATATGAGAAATAGCAAGTGCAGGAAGAACTCTCCAAACTACTCTGAAGCAGATCAGTAGAGGCTCATGTGAGAAGTATCACCCTAGAGCTGGAAGAAAGGAGCATCTTATCTCCACAGGTGGAGCCAAGAAAAACCCAAATGAAAAGTTCTTCTAGTCAATTCTATTGCTAATAACGGAGAACATCCTGATCGGGGTAATTTATAAGATAGAGGTTTATTTCTCTCATGCTTTGAAGGTTCGAGTTCAATGGGATGCATCTGGTTAGGGTCTTGTGGGTCGAACATGGTGAAGGGCTTCATATGTCAATAGGCAAACGCCTGAATGGAGCCGAGTGTGTATCTCATTCTCTCTCCTCATAAACTCCAAGGACACAATCAGAAAGGCCCCACCCTGATGCCAATCACTTCCCAAAGATCCCACTTTCAATATCATAATCAGATTAATTCTCCTCAATTTCTTCATAATAAACCAAATTCTAATACTGAATTTGAGTGACACATTCAAACCACAGAACAGGTCTTGCTAAGTTTCCCCCACTTTACACCTCACTTGTTTCTTTTTGTTCTATCACATTTTCCCAAAACCGTCCGCTCTTCATCTAATCTAGTATAAAAATACTTGGGTTTAACGGTTTCTTCAGGTCTTCGTTTTTTTTGTAATACAGGCTTCTGTGTCACATAAAACTCATATTATTGGGTTGTTGGAAAAGTCGTGACATGTTTTTGCATAGAAAAACAGAAAAATATGTCACGACTTTTCCCATCAGCCCAATAAATAAATTTCATGGGTTTATTTCATTAATCTCTCTTATTTTACAGACACATGCTTCCTCTCTTACACAACAAAGAATAAACAGACATAGGAACCAGCAGTTAGCGTAATGGCTATGTCACTGGACTCCCATGTAGTCGACCATGGTTTGCGTTCCGGACCCGGTGGCTTAAAACTCACGCCGGGTGCATGTACATGCGTGCCCAAGATCCTGAGAGGAGAATGGAGGAGAAGGGATTGCGGCGTGACCATTGCCTCTGGAGGGTGATTTCTCACTTTCTGTCTCTATGTCTCTCTCTGTCTGGCGAGCGCACACGCCCTTATCGAAAACCTCTCAAAAAAAAAAAAAAAGAATAAACAGACAGGAGAAATTATGCACTTCATTGAAAGACTTCAAAAAGTATATAAAATAATTTATAGTAATATACATATAGTTATTTTATATATTATAATATATGCATTTATAATCATGTATTTTTTAAATAAAACTAATAAATAGTGCTTATAAATGGAATTATTTGCATTTCTCATTGTCACATGTCTATGATACTATTATGCATTTCAACATAGCTGAAGATATTTTTCCTCCATAAATAGGAATATTCTTATTACTATGACTGATATGAATTATTTTATATCTAGCAATCTGCTGAAAAAGTGCAGGTCTAGTGAGATAAAAGTAGATAGCTAATCAAAGTCATGAGCCCAATAATAAGGTAATAGAAAATTGAAGAGTAGAACTTAAAGTATCAAAATATCATAACTCTCTGCCAATTCTGAGATTAAATTGATAAACTGAAAAAAGGAAGAAATACTGCAGCTAGTGTTGACCAAGAATTCCGAGCTTTACACTGCTATTACAATCAATATCACTTCTATAAATTACAGACTCTTACAGATGTATTTTCTATCTTCTCCCATTCTTAGAAGCTGGTAACCCCATCATTACTGAAGAATAATGGGAAGCAATTAAGTATAGAAATTATAACAGAGCATATATAAGAACTTCACTTTAGTCAGCTTTGTAAGAAAGAAATGTGCTTTTTTCATTAATTTCTGTTGCACAGAAGACAATAATTACAATCATTTCATGAAGAAAAAAATCAAATGCTTAAATATTTTGCAACTTTCAGCCTCACTGGCAAGGATGCTTTTGTCTTTTGTCATGCTGTTCTTAGCTTAAAGCATCCTGTGTCTTTCCACAGAAAACTTGACAGCTGATATTTTCTTCTTTTATTTCTACTTCAACTGCTAATTGCATATTTACAATCCCTCAATCAAGAGCAAAAGAGAAACAGATTAGAAAAATTTTCTATCTGTCAACAGAACTATGTACTATAGTGAAACATCTACTCATTAAATATAGAGAACTTCATGGCATCAATAATAAGTGTTATAAAGGGCACCAAGGTATTATTAATTCTGAAGGAATACAGGACTGGAAAAACAATAAGTCATTTTGACAGTTGCTATGAAGACTATTACCAAATGTTATGTTTACTTGACGAGGCTCAATTTATAAAACAAGACCTACAAAAAATCTGCAGTTTAATCAATTGAGATATGCTGTAATAAACAACTGCTAATGGACTGAAGCCTTGCTTTCCTTCTTAATGATTGAAATTTGACTGTGTTCTTAAAAAATTAGGGTAATTACTAGTGTGGGCAGTTTATGTGCATTTTTAAAAGAACCTTAAATCAATGAAATAAAACTGTAGAATGGATTTAACGTGAACATAAATGTTTCTTTTTTTAAGTTAAATTAAGCTAAGGATGCAAATCTATTTAAATACAGTGTGTGATTACTAATCCAGAGAGAATTCAGCAAGGTTTTTGTTTATCATGCAAATTAAGAAACAATAATGGATATAAGTCCCCAACCATAATCATTGATTAAATGTTTCTGTATATCTCATATTCAATTCAGAATCTTAGGAAATAGTATTTTATCTTTGACTGGATTTTGTTTAATTTTAAAGAAAAATAATTGATTTGATAAACTGAAGTCTAAGAAGCTAGGTGATGGTTTGGTTATGGTCTACGGACTAATTATTTTATAAATCTCTATCTAATTTAAACTAAGATAGTATATCAGTTTCAGTGATATCATTAGAACTTTTAAAGTGTAAATTATTTATTCTTGAATTCATTCTAATAATACTAATATGTATACAAAAATAATAGGTCATTCTTTACTATGGACTTTTATAGGCAAGATAAAGATTACACTGAAAAAATCTATTTGAGTGCTGTGATTTCAGTTAGGAAACAGCTCAAAACAATTACTTGTAGTATCCATTTATGTACATGCATATGAATATGCAGGTCCATATTGCATGTGTATTTGTATATACGTGGGTGTATGTCTGAATGGGTGTGTGATTTCACCAAGCAACAGGTGGTTTCGGCACTAAGGGTTCCTATGAAAGCAAACTGAAATCAATTATAAATGTTAAAATGAAACTTAAGCTTAATAAGTTAGAAATTGATAACTATCCTATAATTAGTAACTCAACAAAAAAGGATACAAGTAAAACTATTACTTTACTTTTGTCCATTAAATATTTTCTTTGCCTTGCTTCTGCATTCATCGTAGAACAGATTTTTCTTAGTTTTCCTTCAGTGAAGCCCCCAACCACTTGTAGTATGAAGCTGTCCAATTTGTGAATCACTGACTGGAAAAATAAATTAATATGTTATGCTTTAAGGTGATAATAATCTACCAGAAAAGAAGGTGGGGTTAGATGAGATTCTGGCAAGATAGTAAAGTGGTAGAAGTATATTCTCTGGAACTTCATAAATGTAAACACAGACACAAACACACATACCAGACAGGGCTAATGGATCACAAATTAAAAGCCCATAAATCACATTTTAAACCAATCTAAACCAGTAGGACTTCTCAGTAAACCAAACTATAAAACAGTAAAGACAAACATCAACAGTCACCAGACCTGTGCAGAAGAAATCAGTAGTTAAAGTATTCACTGGATGCCGCAGGCCCATCAATGATAGCTTAGCCCATCTCTGGGTCAGAGTAAGGAGTCTGCATGAGATTGACCAAGGTAGAGTAGCAAAGCCCATGTGCTTCTGGAAACAGACTAACAATGTTCCATATAGGTCAAGGTGATTCACAGAGGAGAAAATGGATGTGGAGCAAAAATTGGAGGGAATAAAAGAAAATGAAGATAAAGGAAAGAATAAAGACAAAAATGGGGGACCTGCTCCATAGCCTCATCATGAAGAGAGCCACACCAACCATGGTGTGAATCCTGGCCATAGAGCTTGGAAAATATGCCAGATATATGTGGGCATGTGTCCAAAATCCTGATTGGATGGAGAAATAGAAGAGAAGGAATTCTGGGAGGAGTACACCCATTACAGGGGATGCTTTTATCTTCCTCTCTCTCTCCATCTCTCTTACACTGTCTGGTGAGTGCACATATGCTCTGGCAATTTAAATAAATAAATAAGCAAAGATCTTCTATCTTGAAAATGAAAAAAAAGATTAAAGTGGGAAAAGGAAATAGGAAATATTAGAAAGCAGGCAGTCATGTTTTTCTAACAGTGCATTAAAAGGTAAAACAAGGGAATTTTGCAAAGTTAAAATAAAACTATCTGAAAAACAGAGAAGTCTCTGATGTAGAACAGTTCCAATTACTTTGTGTGTACACACTGCTCTCAAAGATGTATAAAATATAACTTCCAATTTCTTAAGTTTGAGTTGCATTTAGGGATTTCCATCTGAAAAGTAAAGTCTACAAGGACAGAAAGAGTATATTTACAGCAAGGTATTTGACAAACATTCTCTTAGCTAGGTGGTCAAGTCAACTATCTTCTATGATAAGTCATGATGGCAGCATGTACTCTTAGTATGTTGTGATGAGAATGACAGTTTACCTCTGTAATCACCTCCTAAAAACCCATCCCCCAGTCAACACATGAGAAAAACACATGACAAAATCCCCAAAATACTAGCCAATTCACCTTGAAACTATCAAGTTTATCAAAAACAAGAAAAGTCTGAGAAACCACCAGTGAAAAAGAGCTTAAGGTAACATGACAACTAAATATTATGTGATATCCCAGACAGGATCCTGGAACAATAAAATAAATTAGGTAAAAATTAAAGCGGTCTTAACAAAGCATGGATTTTAATTTAAAATAAAATATAAATATTGATTTATATGACAAATGTATCATACTAATATAAAATATTAATGTTCCATACTAATGTAAAATATAAACAACAGGAGAACCTCAGTGGTAGGTTCTCTGTTGTCTAAATTGCCTCTGCTATCTTCATAAATTTTCTAAAAAGCTAACTATATTCTAAAACAAATTATTTATCATTAAAAAAGTTATCTGGGCCCAGCTGTGTAGTACAGTGGTTATGTGCTGAATATAGGGATCTGGATCCCATATGGCCAACTGCAGTTTGCATCCCAGCCCTCGTGGCTTAAAAAAAAAAAAAAAAAAAAAAAAAACATGCTGGACATGTATGCTTGTGTGCCAAAAATTCTAATGGTATTGAGACCACACTTAGTTGGGTAGTGCTTTTCCTCCCACCTTCTCTGTCTATTTCTTTCTCTGGCAATTAAAAAGTAAATAAGTAACAAATAAATAAATGAAAACCAATCTATACAAACTCTCTTACAAAAAGTTCATGAAAAGTAAATTCAAATTTTAACAAACAACAGAAATGTTTGGGATCAAATTCCAAAAAGTTAATAAAGAGCAAAGAAAATAACCAGAATTTGACAGCACATTGAAGTTTATAGAAAAATGGAAGCAAAAGATAAAAATAAATAAACATATAAATTTTATTTCTCAACCTAAGGTTCATCAAGATCAATACACTTTTGTAAGCAATGATAACAGACATTTAGTTCATCCCTAAAGGTCACTAAACTATGATTTAACCAAGCCACCCAAAAGAATGATTAAAGATAAGAACAATGTATGGAGAATCTTAGAAACCACTAAGCAGTCAAATATCAACATAATAGGTATTTCAGAAGGCAAGAGATGGGTAAAGGCATAGAAAATCTCTTTCATAAACTATTAGCAGAAAGCTTTACAAATCTAGAGAGGCATACAGTCATCCAGATTCAGAAAGTGCAAAGAACACCAAACAGACTTAACATAAGAAGATCCTCTCTGAAGTACATCATTACCAAAAGTAAAAACAAAGACAATATTCTAACAAGAGAAAACCACCAAGTTACTATATTAGATTAACATCAGACTCTCAACTGAAAGAAAGCAGGCAAGGAAGGAATGTGCAGACATATTTAAAATTCTGAAAGAAAAAAGACTTCATTGACGAATACTATACATGGTAAGATTATTCTTCAAATGGCTGGAAGAAATTATTTCATGCAAACAGAAACAAGAAATAAAAAGGCAATACTCATATCTAACCAAACAAACTTTAAGACAAAAGCTTTTAAGAGAAAGAAAGAAACAAGCAAACAAAAAACAGAGAGAGACAAAAAGGACACTATATAAGCCTAAATGGATTAATTCACCAGAATAATAACAATTAAAATATCTATACACCCAACTCTGGAGCATCTAAAATGTAAAGACTTCCAGATCTAAAGAGAGAGAGAGCACAACATACTAATTGTTGGAAATCTCAACACTCCACTACCACCACTAGGACAGGTTGCCCAGATTAATGATAAACAAATAGACACAGGAGCTAACAAACCAAAGACTCGATGGACATTTATAGAGCATTTTACCTAATAAATACAAAATACACATTTACCTCAGTTCACATGGAACTTTTTTGAATATTGACCATAAAATAGGAAACAAAACAAGCCTATACAAAGGTAAAAGAAACTGAACCTAGCATATTTTTCCATCATAATGAAATGGAACTTGAAAGAGCCTTTGAAAAATATATAAACACTGGAAATGAAACAATTTACTCTTGAATGATTACAGAACTACTGAAGAAATTAAGATTATAATTTAAAATTTTTTTGTGCCAAATGATAACCAAGACAAAATATTCCATGATTTGAGCAACAGGGCAAAAACAGCCCTCAAATAGCCTATAGCAGTTAAACGGATGGCAAGTAAATAATGTAATAATAAATGTAGAAGAACTGGAAAATCAACAACAAAAAATACCCACCAATTACTAAGAAGAAGATATAATGATTAGAACAGAAATAAGTGAAATTGAAAATTAAAAAAAGAAACGAAAAGCTAGTTCTTCGAGAGAGTAAACAATAAAGAAAATCAATAATACATTAGCTAGACTTACCAAGAAAAACATAGAAAGAAACCAGATAAATAAAATCCATAAGAAAAACAAGCAATATTGCAAAAGGTATCGCAGAAATACAAAAGATCACAAGAAAATATAAAAGCATCTTTATGCCAACAAACTAGAGAACCTAGAAGAAGTGGACACATTTCTGGACACATGTAATTTGCCTAGATTGAATTCAGAAGGAATGGAAAGTCTGACAGACCAAAAACAAGCAGTAAGATTGAATTAGTAATAAGTAGTCTCCTAACAACAACAACAAAAAGTCCAGATCCTGATGACTTCACCTCTGAATTCTACAAAACTTTTTGCAGAAGAATTAATTCTAATTCTCCTTAAATAATTAAAAGATATAAATAGAAGGAACCCTCTCAAACTCAGTCTATAAAACCTCCACCATTTTGATACCAAAAGCAGACACAGAACA